CTTTAGCGCCGGTTCGTGCCGAACCGGTAGTAAGGGGGGGAGCTTTAGTCTCCACTCTTTAGTGCCGGTTGTAGAACCGGCACTAAAGGCCCTTACGAACCGGCGCTAAAGCCTGATTCTGCACTAGTGGAGCTAGCCGTGCAGGGCCTCCCGGAAGCTGGACACGCGCCGAGGAGGCCGTTGACGCCGCCACGCTCAACATGCTCGTGGGGGGCACAACGAGTGGAAAATTTTGCCCCCTAGGCCAAAAATTTCGCCGGGAGCCCCCCAAGCGGCGAAAAAAATGCCTCCTGTGAGGGCAAACGAGTGGAGATGCTCTTACAAACAGAAAAGGTTGCTATTAGGTTGATAGTAATCAAGTGTCCAACCCACACTATGTATTTTCTCCCTGTTTTAACTTCTTTTTCTCCAACCTTTGGTTTTCTTTCACTGGTTTTGTTGGTTTAGCAAATGAAATCATGTCATCTTTGGTAAATCAATAATTTTGTTTTATTAAGTGTTGATTCATTTGGCAGCTAAATTCCATATTTGTCGTGTAATCACGGTGATTGCGTACAAAATATTGTGCCAGCAAATATATTGCCTTTGTAGTAGTGCAAAAAAAAAAGTAAGTGCTGATTCATTTGGCATATATTTTTTTGCGGGTAATTCATTCGGCAGCTAAAGTCCATATTTGTCATGTAATGACCGTGATTGCGTACAAAATAGTGTGCCAGCAATATACGTAGTCTTTGTAGTAGTGCAAAATCCTTGCTCAGTCTTATTCAATTAGTACCTCCTAAAGAGTGGTGCTCTATTTTAGCCACCGGATCGGCCCGTATCACTTTACGAGCTGCTACCTTAATTAACATGGTAACTCCATTGGTTTCCCAAAAGGAAAACATGGTAACTCCATTGGCTGTTTCCTAAAATAACGCATGGTAACTCCATATTAGCAGGGCAGCGTCTACTACAGTACTATAATTAGCCCTCGGGCGCCTCTGATTTTCTTCAGCAATCCACGTTTTTGCAGCCATGGAGCTTACCCTCGTATTCTCCCTTCTCGCCCTCTTCTGTCTCCACGGCGTGAGCGCCGACAGGGTTAACTTCACCTCCTTGTTTGCCCTCGGCGACTCCAACATCGACACCGGCAACCTGGTGCTCTTGGCTACTCCGGATGTGCCTGTGTTCAATAACAAGCCTCCTTACGGCAAGACCTTCTTTGGCCACCCCAATGGCCGGTTCAGCGACGGGAGAGTCACCATCGATTTCATCGGTAAGTTGAATCATCTGATAATTCGTGGAGTCAAGTGAGCACTTTGCTCAAAATTTGATTAGATGGAATTTGAATACCTGATCATGTACCTTGTTCTTTTGGTTTGGTACTAGCCGAGGAGTTTGGTCTCCCTCTTCTTCGACCCTCCCTGCAGAATAACCCAGACATCTCCAAGGGGGTCAATTTCGCTGTCGGCGGCGCGACGTCTCTCAACGCCGACTTCTTCGAGAGGAACAAATATGTTAATTTCAAGCTTCTAAACAGTTCTCTGAACGTGCAGCTGGACTGGTTCGAGAAACTCAAGCCATCGTTTTGCAAGACGGCAGGTCTGCGGCACGCTCCCTTGTCTAGCCGTTACAGTGCTTAATTCTTGGCTGTTGCATACATACTGAGAAACTGCTTGATACGTACAGGACCAAGTGAATGCTTCAAGAAAACCCTCTTCGTCGTCGGGGAGTTTGGAGTGAACGACTACAACCTGGCATGGGGTGCGGGGAAGTCTGAAGCCGAAGTGAGGTCTTATGTACCTCAAGTTGTGCAAAATATTGCCAATGCCGCTGATGTATGTATACATTGTGCAATTTCTTTAGTTCTGCTTCAGCTTTTTTGTACACAACACACCATTTTTGCACTGTAATAATATTATAGGACGCGACACGGCACTAAACTGGTCAGCTTAATTACCTTGGTACAACAGGTGCTCATCAAAGGAGGTGCAACTTACGTGGTCCTGCCGGGGATCCCGCCGATCGGGTGCTCGCCGTCCCTGCTGGCGACCCGCGTGAGCCTCAACAAGGCGAAGGAGTTCGACCAGCTCGGCTGCCTAAGCGACGCCAACCGCGTGGCCAAGTACCACAACACCGAGCTCCGTAATGCGATCGACGGTCTGAGGGGCAAGTACGCGCATGCCAAGGTCATCAAGGCTGACTTCTACAGCCCGATCATCAATATCCTCCAAAACCCCGGCCGGTTCGGTACGTAAGAAAAAGAAGTTCTGCGTGCATGGGTTGCATGTGCGTGTGCATGAGTTTTCTGAAATTTTGCGACCAATCTGCATGCATGCAGGAGTGGCCGGCGGCGACGTTCTACGGGCTTGCTGCGGAGGCGGCGGGAAGTACAACTGGAACATCAGCGCCGTGTGTAGCCAACCGGGGGTGGCCGCCTGCAAGGATCCCTCGGCGTTCGTGAGCTGGGACGGGACTCACTTCACGGAGGCCACGTACCGCTACGTCGCCAAAGGGTGGCTCTCCGGTCCTTACTCCGATCCGCCCATACTGAATGCTCATAACTAGGAGTATTAGAGAGGAGCCCGGAATAAAGAGGTGTCGTAAAAAGTTCCACGATTCACGAATATGTTCATATCATGTTTTAGATGGAATCAATAAAAGATTAGCATTAGACAATTGGTTTGAGAGACTTTTCTTTTATGGAGAGAGAACTGAAACGACCCGAGGAAAGTTGACAATAAAAGATTAGCATTAGACAATTGGTTTGAGAGACTTTTCTTTTATGGGGAGAGAACTGAAACGACCCGAGGAAAGTTGAGAGTAATCTTCAGCAGCGACTAGCTATTGTTGCATGCTGTACTTCTGATCTGAAACTCATCGTGAAACTCAAGAATTTTTGTCAAAAAAGACCACCTATCCAACGTAATTAGCAAAAAAGATCACCTTTAAATGAAATTGTCAGAAGAGACCACCCGAGTCGTGGCGACAGGCGCGCCAGCCGAAGTGTGGCCCTGCGGCAGCAGGTGCATACCAACCAGGCCGCGCCCAAAACGGAACTGGGAGTGCATGTGGTCTCTGCAGCCTAGAGGCAGGACTGTTTGCCTGCTACTACATTTCATTTCGTCTGCGTTTCGTTTCGTCCGACGAATATTATTCGTATGCCCTTGCTGTTGATTCCTAGACGTTTCATCTGTGTATTATTTCGTCTGACGAATAATGCCACAAATTTGTATGGCCTTGCTGTTTATTCCTAGGTGTTTCATCTGTGTATTGTTTCTTCTGCGTTTTGTTTCGTCTGATGAATAATGCCACAAATTTGTATGGCCTTGTTGTTGATTCCTAAGCATGCAGTGCACTGTTTTTGCAAATAATAATCGCCGCCGTAGGCCTTGTCGTCGGCCTCCTCGCGTCGGCTGATTCACCCGGCGAACCTTCACCGCCGCGGGTCTCATCGTCGGCCTCCTCGCGTCAGGCGAGTCACCCGACGGATCTGCTACGCCACGAGCCTCATCGTCGGCCTCTTCGCACCGGCCTCATCGCCTGGCGAACCTTCACCGCCGCAGGCCTCATCGTCCGGTGGGTCTTCGCCGCCGCAGGTCTCATCGTCGGCCTTCTTGCACCGACATCATCGCCGGGCAGACCTGCTTTGTGGCGGGCCTCATCGTCGTCCTCCTCGCGCCGGCCTCAGCGCCTGCCTGCCTCCTCGCGTACCTTCGCCGCCGCATGCCTCATCGTTGGCCTCCTCGCGCCGCATCATCGCCCTGGCGTTGAGGCCAGCGCGAGGAAGCCAACGATGAGGCCGGCGACGGAGCAGGTCTGCCTGGCGATGATGTCAGCACGAGGAGGCCGATGATGAGGTCTGCGGTGGAGCAGGTCCGCCGGGCGATGAGGCCGATGATGAGGCTCGTGACAGAGGCTCGAATTATTATTTGTAAATAAACAATTATTATTTACAAAAATAATGTACTGCTTGTCTAGGAATCAACAACAGAGGTATACGAATATGTGACATTTATTTGTCACACGAAACGAAATGCAGATGAAACAAAACACAAACGAAACGAAGGTAGCATCATGCAAACAGTGCTATCGCCACGCCGCTAGGTGGTAGGGACCACATGCAGCCCCCGTTCCGTCTTTGGGCGCTGGCTTGCTGTTACGCGCTGCCGCCGCCTGGGCATCTGGCGGCAGGTGCTGCCGGCAGGCGGCATGGCGGCAGATGTCACGCTTCGGCTGGCGCGCCTGACGTCACGGTTGGACAGTCTTTTTTGTCAGTTTCATTTGAAGGTGATCTTTTTTGCCAATTCTATTAGATAGGTGGTCCTTGACAAAAAAGTCAAAACTCAATGGTTCGAGCAACAAAGTGAGTCGAACGGAAATTATACTAGACGGTCTAGCGTCCAGTTATAAACAAATCCAAGAAAGTCCAAACTTTTATTATCCACTAGTAAGCTTGCACGTGCGTTGCACGCCAACACTGACACACATTATATTATTAAACATCTATAGTTCTAAAATAATGGATATGTGCTATTTGTGCAAATGAATGAATGAAAAGGTGATCTATATAATGTGCAAGGATTGCATCTAAAATGGTAAGTACAATATTTTGCAAAATATTCCTGGAATAAAAAGTTAATTATTTCAAGTGCATGATTTCACCATTTACACAAAACGAAGTGATGATTTGGATAGTTTACACAAAATGTACCAAGAAACATTCCCACAACATGTGGGGATTCATTTAGTTTAACTAAAATCAACAACCATTTCTTTATATTCGAAAGGTGCTTCGTCTCTGCACTTGAAAACCTTCATAGCATATGAGATTTAGATAGATACACAAAATGTGTGTGCTCATGTCCTTGCATGTTGGAAACAAGCATCAACAACATTTACACTCTTGTAGAGGAAATAGTGTTTGGGCAATCAACAACCAGTCACATGGTCTCTTCTACATTGGATCCAAAAAGAAAAGGAAGATTGAATGGAACTGAAACTCACAAATAGGTAGACATGCTTTCAATTTGTTGGCTAGAATTTGACAAATGCACTTGTCAGGAGACAGGCGTACTCTATCAATTATCTTTCATCTTCTCAAGATTAAGCACTTTAGCTGAGGCGAAGAAACGAAGCAAGACGATGCCATTTTTGAGCATGCTCTTGGTTGTCACCAATGAACCTACAACATCCATCACACGCATTATAAAGACGATGACACACAAACACATGCACACGTATTATTGTGAAACCTGACCAACTTTGAAAGCATGATACTCTGTCCCCACTTTATACTGATTCTCATCTTTTAACCATTCTTTACACAGTGAGACAGAACTTACATGTGTCTGAGAAAGAAAAAACACTTTGAAATGTGACCATCCACATTGTCATCTTTGGTTAGAACTTAAGGTCCTTTGAGTATCACGTCCAGCTTGCCTACAGAAAAAGCTATCTTAAAATCTCCAAAAGCTGTCCAAAAGAAAAAGGAACAATCTCATAAAACAAGTGAAACATTGGTGTTAATTTTTTAGAAGGATACATGCATCTATATGCATCTTATCGATGCCAATTTGAAAAACTGATTTACAGAAGTACCTTTCATGTGTACAAAACGCTGAAGAATTTGAACATGAACAGCCTGATACAGTACAGTAAGGACAGCGAGCACTAACAATTCACAAAAGTATATTTTCCTATACACACTCTGTTGCGGGTTAATAAAAACGGAATATACTCAGCTGTGGGATCGATCTTCAAATTACCTTCAATTGGTTACAACCTAAAGAAGCTAGAACAACTAATCTAGTACTGCTATTTCATAAAAAATTTAACCATCACAAGCTAGAACAACCGATCTAGCTTAAGAAACCTACACAACTCATAATTTCATACGCTCATAGTAATCATCCATAGCCAGTAATTCTTCCTTTGCGTACATGCATTACCACTGAAGTAAACTGTAGCTAATAATTAGAAAGTTAGACCAAATTACGAATCACCATTACAAAGTATAACCGATTTTTGGCACTGGAACATTTTTCAGGCGGAACCTAAAGAAGCACCACCATAGAAATTTCTAATAGCAAGGAATTTTTCCATTCTTGATCGGTGAATCACATACGGATTGCATCAAACCAATTGAAAAGGGTAAATAGATATACCTAAAGCATTCTTTTATTTGCCAACACCAGTGCTTCCTCAAAGCGCCTGCTGACTGCTGTCCCTTAAATATCAAATGATTGGTTTGCTGCCTGTTGGAGCAGCAATTTCTGCAAAATCAACAGCACCAGATGCAAACACTCCATTAGCCTTTAAATCCAAATTGAAAAAAATAGTGAATCAATCCAGCCAAGCAAGGTAGGACAAGCCAAGATGTACAAGGTTCACGGCAAGCTGTGTGCCCGGAATCCATCCAGCTGCCTGAGTGCTTGCTTATGTAGCCGGCCAGAAGGTTCAGACCAACGTCTACGCGTAAAATCAATTAGCAGCTTGCTTAGCTTGCAGCTGTACGTACGTGTTCTGCTCTCGGGAAGATCCAATCCAAGTGCCTCAAATCCAACATACCCAGGCATATGGAGGGCGCTAACTGGCGGGATGCAGACATCATGGTCGCCCACGTGATGCCGTCGTTGAAGGGAATTTTCAGTCGAACACCTCACGTAGGCGAGCAACGGCGGAGGGAGACCAGGCGCAACACCTGTGGCGACGATGTGGGTGTGCACGGCGGCGACCTCGACAGTGTCGGCGGAGTCCATGAGAAGGGAGATGTAGACTATTGTTGCCGCCCTAGACTAGCTCTCTCTCACGCCGGACTGAAGGTAGACGAAGCACTTTTTCCGGCGACCAACGCCCCGGCGCTTCAACGCCCCGGCGCTAAAACGCCCTTTTTCCTTTTCAGCTCGCCCCAGTTACATCAGGGCATGTACAATGGTTCTATCTTAGCAATGCCACGTAGGATAAATGATGAGGTGGATGAGAGAGAAATCATAAGAGAAGGCTTGTCTTCTCTTAATTAAGAGAAGGCAAGAGATGATCTCTTAGCACAATATGTCTCACCACATTTTTAGGAATAACTAATTATTGATGATAAGGCTAAGAAATGACCCATTGTAGACATGTGTTTTTGCCATCTCTAAATTACATACAAGATTTAAGATAAAACTATCTTATCGACCATTGTACATGCCCTCAGCGATTACAAGGCCTTTTGTAGCCATACAGCGACGCAGCGCCCACGCAACTCCTTCGGCCGATACGCGCACGCACACAACAAACTCCACATGCAGCTTGATCCGTACGTTCCGGCCGCGCGGACGACGCACTCCTATATGCACGACGCGGCTGCCTCCAACGGCCCCTGCTGCATGCACTAACAAAGTGTAGACTAACTCAAACTTGCCTAGCCTGCTGCATGCACGCACACCGCACCGGCCACTAAGCCAACTAACTACCTGTCAAGATTAGTACTAACATAGACGTCCTCGTCGGCCGTGACGCCGAGCAAGTCCAGTAGGTAGGAGCTCTAGATCAAAAGTAGAATTTAGGATTTGTAATGGAGGCGC